CTTTCAAAAATATGGAACCTTCTGTAGAAAAAAGTACACTTATTATTACATGCGTCGTCAAGGGAGCTCTGAAAAACTTAACTAAGTAGTACCACAGAGGAGAATAGAGTTGTAGTTAGATAAAATCAACTTATGAAAGTGTTCGTTCGGCCATTGCTCCTTGGCCTGTAGCTACTATTTGCATTGCCTGCCCCCACTGCCCTGTTTTCTAACAACACACACGTGTATACTTGTTGAGTTTTCCATTGCTTTGTCAGAAATGTTCCACAGTATGGCATTAAACTTATCTATCTTATCTCCATATATTCAATCACAGGTATTTTTATTGCTCAAAAATACATCGAGAAAAGTAAATTTTTACTGTGAGCGGGTAAACTTCTCAACTGATCTGACCTGTGTAGTATTGTCACCTTTTAATGGCATACTGTGGAACATTTAAGATAAAGCAATAACACCTCTATAGAGAAAAGCAGGTGTCTGACTCTCCATCTGAAAAATTACATAGTGCATCTTTGACCTAAATTAACCTATATTGTAACTTTGAACCATAATTTTGACCGAATTTAGAAGGATTTATCATGGGTCCCCACAAAGCACAATATAGTTATGAAGTGATTATATACTGATCTCAGTCCCCACAATATATGATAATATGATCTCCCATTACAACTGTGAGCTCAGGTAAGTCCTTACAGGGAGTCAAAGGTTATTGGGTTCGCCTGATACCGCCCCCTCTCTGTGATTGGAGAGCACGGCCACGCTATTAATGAGGCAATACAGTCGTAAAACGGACCTGATAAGAGTCCAGTAGGCCGTTGTAATGCCTCTTCAAAGCACCGCATCTCCCTAAAACAGCACATAAACTTCAACATGAGACCTATGGAGTGATGCAATGCTATACTGAGAATGAATGTATGCTATGCTTGTAGATGTAAATACTAAAGAGAGATTTGTTTTTATAGGCCATAGTTATTTATGTTGATTCTGCACGCTGCCTTCGGTATGATGAACATAAAGACATGAAGGCAGTACTTTATACGAGTAGGAAAGAGAGGTTGTAATGCAGAAGTGCAAAAAGTGAGGATAATGTAGTATTAAAGGGCCCATATTACTGTATTTTCTGATCTACATTATAATGATGTTTCCTCATCAAAAACATACCCGCAGTTGGGTTTTCTTAATTCGCTCTTGTTTAACACAAAAATCCTACATTTAGTTCTTCTCTCCAATGAAAAACACTCTGTTAAACCTTGTGATGTCATGTTGTAATACAGGAAATGCTCCACTGTGTTTTAAAACTTCTTACACCTTCACTAGAATCCTTTGGATGATTTCAGCCTAGGAATTGCCCATTTCTGCTGAAAGGGTTAAGGGGAGCTGTTAACTTGAAAACAACCACTTCACGCTCACAAGATGGAATAGAGCATTTTGAGTTTTGGGGATGTAGACAGACTAATAATAGCCGGATTCATCAGCTGGTTTCACTTGTGGAAATCGTCTGACCTTGAAACATAGCATTCATTCGCTCTAAGGTAGGCGGGTACTTTTTTTAATTTAACCAATCGCTGCTACTTAGTCGTGACATATGTAATGCGCCGCTAACGGGCCTAACTGGTATATTAAGTTTTTCTCGAATCCCTTAGGAAAAAGGGCAATAACGTCTTTCCCCTTGATAAAATTCACCAAACATTCTCTTTGTTCCGGCTTTAAATCCCCGATCTTGGGAATCGTTGCCACCACAGAATGTACGGCTTCGTCTACATCCATCTCAACCTCTTTGTTTACTTTTGTGCTGTACCACAAAAAGGGACACAGTCATGGCTTCACAGCTCTTCGCTGACTGGCCGGTCTACAACCTCCAGGGTTCTTGCAAACTGTGTGGTGTATTCTGATTCCTGACCTAGTCACTGGACAAAAACTAGTGGAGGCACTAGGTGGCACCAGCCTGGCTAAACTAATAATGCGGCATTATTCAAACATGTGTGAATGAAATAAAACTCTGAGCATGTTCTGGATGAGATAACAACAATTGTAACATGGTTTAAAGCTCACAAGAGTCATTTCTGTGTAATATAGGACCTTTAAAAAGGAACAACAGATGGCGAAACAACATTCAACAACACAATTCCAATGTTATGAAAAGATTAAAACATCTTGTCAGTTGAGAAATCAAGTTGGGCCAAAACACCTAAAGAGGCACTGACATCATTTAGCAGCCCCACTGACAACAGTAAGAATGTACAGCTGTGTATTTAACTTTTTACAGTACTGTGAACTTTGACCCCACTGTTTTACATGCGATCTCTTTCTGGATCTGTGCCAAATCATGAAGCAAATGTATGCCACTGGTCTTATGCGTAGGCGGATATTCCATACCTTGTGGGGACTGAAATCTGAATACACATCACTTCACAGGGGTCTTTTCATTGTGGGGACCATAAGATAAATGCTTCAGTATAAGGTCATTTCCATGGTTTAAAAGTGAGATATCGTACTAGAGTAATCTTAAAGTTGAGGTTAGGGTTTGGGTTAAGCTGAGGCCAGTACAAAATGAATGTAATGTCTCCACAAAGCCTGTAAATGTACCGTGTGTATGCGTGTGTGATTGTCCCTAGAGCAGTTCACAGTGAGCAGCGAACACACACAGAGACACAGCACATCCAGACTAATTAAAACACAGCAGTGAAATCAGGCTGTACTCAAAAACACTCTAAACGTGGATTCGTGTGTGTGTATTAGGTCGCAGGCTGCAGTGTGATTGGCCGTCAAATGAAACAATATATTCTGAGGACCTCGGGGTTTCCATTTGAGTATTCGGACACTGCGCTGCCACGAACTGTGTCTGTTTTATGTGAAAAAAGTTGATAATTAGTCCCACAGTGACTGAACAATGAGCGAGGAGAGAAAGCGGCGGTGAGAGGCGGGGGCTGGTGGGCTCGCAGAGGAGAGAGAGCTCATGTACTTATGTCCGATCTGACACTGGCTCTGTTTGTTTGTATGTGACATTTGCATATTCATTTAGCATCCCCTCCTTATCTCCCGTACAAGAGTGTAGTTCAGCCAGTCTAAATTATTTCTAGTCAGCCTGGTATTAACCCGCAGCTTTACACAAATACTAGAAATAGATATTGTAATTTGTGGGTTTTAGTGTTTCTCATATTTGGACCTCTTATTCATTCATTATTTTTCAAAAGGGGCTCTGGTAATAATTAGCAATTAAAATGCTGTCTTTTTGCCTCACTTTCCCCTAATTAGCCTGACAGAGGGGGAGAAGGGGGAGGAAGGGGGGGTCTCTGTGGTGCCCCTCATCCCCCTGCCCAATATCTACGCACCGAAATTTTACATGTGCTTTTACATGTCTTCTGCAGATGTAGAAACCAGACAAGTGGGGCCTCTGCAGGTTTCTTTTTTTAATGCCAGTTAATCTGAGAAGGAACATAATTCAAAAACAAAAAGTTATCATCATAACATTTCAAATTCAGAGGGGACAAGTTCTTTAAAATACATTTCTCAATCACTGCCCTGAACTAATGTGAACAATATAGGTCAACAAAATGAACAGGGAAGTTAAAATCAATATATTAAAAACTATGACAATATAGAGAAGTATTTAGACCAAATTCTGCAAAATGAACACCATAATGATCCATATTTGACTATATCTGGACAAGCATTGCCTTACATGTTTGCTCTGTCCTTTCTGGTTGAACATTGTGGAATGGTGGGGTCAGGCAGCTGAGTGGCAGCAGGAAAAAGCACATGTCATGTTTGTTTGGAGGTCTTTTTGTCACCGGGCCACACCCCCCTCTCCCCCTTTAACCCCCCCTTGCCCTCTCCCCCCATAACACTCCCCCATTACCCCTGCCCTCCTCTTGGCCTTATTTAGCCCCCGTGGTGTCAGCGCGGGGTCAGGGTGAACGCAGACGGCAGCCTACACATTGTAATAGCATGCTAGAGTGCATCGTGGATGGAAGTGCCTCGAAGGAACTGCTTCTCATTCTGCAGACCTCGTTAGCTCCTGATTTATCTCCCCCGCTCTCTCTGTAAAGTGTGTGCGCGCCAAATAAAAAAGTGGATTAGAATCACTATATTTTACCGTGTGTCTTTAGGGTCGGGGAGCTTGTCAGGGAGACACAGGGACCCCGTCATAAGGCATTAGCCCGCTGTGAGCACTCCAAACCTGGGGTCAAATGGATTAATAAAAGATCAGAGTTGTGTGCACACAGACGCAGAGGCAGGGGGGCACTGTGGCTTATTTAAATATTGGGCTGCCTCGTGTGCTTCATAATCATGACAAATATACACACTGCGCTCCGTCCACCATTATCCATTTAGCACATTTTTGTCTTGTCTTGCAATAATCTCAAGTCCAAACCCCTAGTGAGCTTATTATGGTCAAGGAAAAAGTGCTTATGGCTGTGCAGCACAGAGAGGAGGGGTAATTAAACAGACGCACAAGGTATGGTGGAATTAAAATAGAAGAAACGTGCTTCTGTTAAGAGTCCATGTGCCTGTTTAAAGGGTTGGAGTGGTTGCTATGTTTTTCCACATGACACAAGGCGCAGGTATAGTCTGGGGCAAAAATGACTGTACTTGTGTCCTACTTCACAGACTCTGGGGAGATCAGACTCTCTGGGGATTTATTTTGTACCTGTTTGCTGCAGTCTCCAGAGGTAATCCAACTGAAACAGAAGGGATGTGTAATCTTGATAATACTCTGATACTCCTGATATTTAAAAAATATTATTAAATATTATGAAATACAAAATGTTTTGTTTTCAATGTAACATGACAAAAGTCACAAATAATGTGCAGCACGGTGGTCTACAGCAGGGTGCTTAATTTTGGAGATTACAAATCATAACTGTATGCAATAACACACCACAAGAAAAGTAAATTACATATAGTCTTTCACCTACAATCTATCAACTGCTGTTGAAATGTAATGAAACCAATCCCTTTTAATTCCGGTTTTAACACTTTCTCTCTTTGATCCACAGATGTGAAGAATCTGGAGAACTTCCACCTGGTGGAGAGCGTACAAGAGCAAGTGAACGCTGCGCTGTTGGACTACGTCATGTGTAACTATCCTCAACAAACGGACAAGTTCGGCCAGCTGCTGCTGCGGCTGCCTGAGATCCGCGCCATCAGTCTGCAGGCTGAAGAATACCTATACTACAAACACCTGAACGGAGACGTGCCCTGCAACAACCTACTCATTGAGATGCTGCACGCCAAGAGAGCTTAAGGACACTACAACACCCACAATGCACCTCTGTGCACTGCTTCAGCTGCTAGCCAAAAACGACATGCTTTTACCAAACCTGATCACCAGCCCACTTCAGGGGTGTGGCGTGAACAAGAGAAAGCTCGCACATGGACTGAAATGTGCACAAACACTAGATTTGTTTATTTAAAATAAGTGGTTTCTCATTAAGGACAACAAAAAAACACTTGAAAAACATTGAAGAATAAGCATGGACTACTGAGACTGAAAGCCTGCAAACTTCATACTTTTGACAAGTGGCAGCAGTATGGCCAACTGTGCCAGTAAAGAGAAGCAACTGATCACCAAAAACTCATTGGTACTGTAAATACAAGTGTGGCCTACAGGGCCAGAGACTCTAGGATACTGTCTGTCTTTCTTATGTCCTCTCACCCACATGACGTTACCCTGAACAGAACTAACGCAAAAATAAAAAATGAACAAAGAGCCAGTAAGGAAAATGCTTTTTTCATCATGCTTACCATGTTATTGTTATCTAATATAATTTAAACTATGTACCTCAAAAATGAGTACATTTATTTAATAACCAAAACCCATGCTAAATTCATTGGCCTCCTTATAATTTCAAACTCAAAGTGTAGTTGTGCAGATGTAGAATGAACCTTGCCTCCTTTGTGCAGAAGACCAAAGCCTGCAGAACACCAACCAGAATCAGTATTGATTAATGAAGAAAATGATTTGTGATGTCACACTTCTGTGAGTTTTGCCTTATTTCATCACCATGCTAGCTAACCGTGCAGATGTGAATGAAAATATGTACAAATATATATATTAAAGTATTAATGTTGTAAGATAATTTTAAAAAGAATAATTCAACAGGTGTTTACATTCATGTGGTCATATGGAGAGAACTGTGATGGCATTACAATTTCAATGATTTCCAAAAAAAAAAAAAAAAAAAAAAAGACATCAAAGAAGAACCCCTCTGATTTGCGTTCTTGGTTGCGTGTACAGTGTTTTGTTTTTCAGCAGTACTTAAATGATGTCGTGAGACACTAAAATCAAAGAGGAATCACACTTATTTCTTTGTGTCTGCTGGCATTCAAACATTTGTTCCTTAAACATTACTGTATAATGGTCCATGTTAGGTTTCAGCCTGTTTTTGTAGATTTTTTTACAGTGTATTTTACCTTTTGATGTACAGTATGTCACTGGTTACGCTTAATAATGAAGATAATTTATTGCGTCTCTTGGTTCCCATCTTTGTGTTACATGACGTGATGTGTCCACGCCAGAATAAATTTGTTTACTGTAGAATGGTCTTATTGTTTTCTAGATCTCACAGACCAAGGTCCAACATATTCTGTATGTGGTGTTTGTGGTTGAGGGACAGCTGTATTTCAATCATTGGTGTGAAGTCTACCAATCACAGCATAATTTTATGAAAGGTGTTGCTAGCAGTGACTCCTATAACAACATACTTACAATAGAGATAATGGTTCTATTTTAAATATGGGAAGGCATTTGAAAATAACTTACTAAACCTATTGCCAAATCAGAAGTGCAACATTATAAAGGGTGAGTGAACTAAGAGTGAATCACTAACCAACGTGGTGTGCAAATTTTCACCAAAACTCCAGTGATATTTATTCAATTTAGTTTGGTCTGCAGACTTTCACATACTTATTAGATGCAAATATTAAAAATACAAATAACAATAATAATAATAAAAATAATAATAATAATAAAGGTTATTGTTTGCCATTATGGTCCATGAATCAAAATGATATAATACAGAGCAAATGTCATAATTAAAAACACCATATAACAATAAAAAACATGAAGTTGTTACAAGTTGACACTACAAAATGTAGTACAAAGACAAAAATGAAAATCACCTTTTTACAAAGAAGTTGAAAACAGATTTAAAGGACACAGTGAGGCTGGTGTCAGTGGTCGATGTGAACGAGATGGTGGTTTGTACGAGGACCCAGAGGGAAACAGGAAGCTGAGAACTCCAGATCCATGGGAACGTGAAGACTGCAACCCACCGGTACAGTGTCCAGCTGAGGGCCAAAAGCTGCCTGTGAGCATCAGGGCAGGAGGGGGAGGGAGGGGCAGGATGGGTACGAGAGAGGGGCATGTGGGGAGGAAGGAGGGGAAGGAGGAAAAAAAAAAATCATTGGTAAGGCTAAGATTATATTATTTCATTTCACTGGTTGATTCATGAGAATAATTACTTTTAAACTCAAGAAATACTGACACGCATGTCTGTCAAATAAAAAGATGCAAAGCCATTTCTAAGTTAAATTCTTTCTGAAAAGCATTAACAAAAGTAGATAAGGTTGCAGTTGGGGGTTCAATAAAGTTTTGAGCAGCTAGTGACTGTCACTTAAATAATGTAAATGTATAAATAAATTTATGACCAGGGGTTAAAAGCCTCTTCTTATGATTTTTGTTAAAAGAAAAATTTGTGCTAATAAAATAAAACAATCATAGCTCCGTATACATCCTGCTCCTTTCTGACCTGGTAGCATGTCTCACTACATAACCCCAAAATATTCAACAATTAGATAATGAGTTAATGATCTGATTATTGGAGCCGTAGATGAGTCTGATATCACATCATTAAGATGCAGCTCACAGTCTCAGAGCATGATCTCCTCCTCTCACAGCTCGCTTGCATTGCCGGGCCTCCTGTCTGTAAATGTGTTAAACCAGCTTTCACTTGCCCTGAATTTGTATAAATAATGTATATACATTTATCCACAGACTCTAACAAGTGCAGCCTCAGGTGAAAATACTCAGAAATGCATGCTATGCGCATCCCTGAAGGTGGACATCAGCTTCAAACCTCGGCTCAAAAAAGAACCACACCGAGCAAGAAAAGAGAGAAAAAACACAAATGAATAAGTTGCCAAAAGCAGTCTAAATGTGCACGCACACAGCTCCACTCACACACACAGCAGCAGCTAATGCACACAAATACAGGGCTGTCAGTTCCTAAACAACTTTTCCTTTTCCGTCACACAAACAGCCCCAAGTTGCTTCTGCCAGTGTGATGAGAAAGCTTTTAAACTCTGGAACAACATCACTCGTGTTTACCAAGATGCGCTCATACGTTTCACTGTATTGTCAAAGAGAAAAGGACTGGGGGCACAAGGAAAAAAACAAAAGCTTTTGGAAGTATTCCAGCAGTGTGAGAAAGGTAGAGCCGAGCGCTGGAACAAGACAGTTTGGTGCTTCTGCCGGACTCAGGCAGAGTCGTAGTCTCTGGAGGAGCGAAGAGCACAGAGCAGCCCCAGCCATCCACAAAACACTCCACCACATGAAAGCATATATGTAAATCACAACTAAACAGTCTTATTGGAGTACATCGCCTGTATGTTTTATTTCAAATCATGTTTGTTTTGATGACACACTGTCAAAATCAAAACAGGGCTAATAACTACTTTATTGTATTTTAATGATTATGATTCATCTTGTGGTGAAATAAATGGGGATTAAAAGAAGCAGCACAAACCTTCAGAGAGGTAATTAGCCAACTTTCCAATGGCTTCCACCAAATAGCAACTCAGGGAGCTATTGTTTGGCGGTCTGATGGACAAACTTTAAAAATGTAAAGATCAAATTAATAGGCTAGCATTGTTAATAAGAACACTCAGCATTGTTATGCAAAAGCCTTACTGTGGCATGCAAAACAAATAGGTTTGGAGACGGAGCGCTCCGAAGGCCGCTGCCGTTTCATTTCAAAGCATGCATTATACATCATTGTGCATAAAGAGGAAGCCTACAGCATTATGATGTTTTTTCCACGATGATTATCCTTTATTAGTCATTAAAAAGAGAACGAGAGAGAAAAAATACAACTTTTAAGCACCTGAACCTCGCTGCCAGCATTCCATTAATTGCCAGCACAATGGGGAGAGCCTTTAGAGATTTTTCAATTTCAAAAAATGAAGAGCGTGTATTCAGCCGGGCTCATGTTATACCGGCACTTAAATCCTACAGAGCTCACATAAAAAAGGACTCAAGGTTGCATCCGATTGAAAGCCTCCAACTACAGCCACTTCAGAAATCCATTTAGCGAGCGGGGGGTTAGAACATCTAATTCAAACAGAGTCGCCCTGTTAAAACGCTTGCACCAATGTCTTTAAAAAAACACACACAAACACACACACACGCCCTGCCATTGTGCGAGACATGGAACTGGCACACACAGCAACAAAAAATTAATCTTGCCAGACCCCGGCCAAGTGGTGAAGGTGAATGCTTGACTGCACTTGTGCGGATCTTGACCTTTGGTTTGCCAGTGTTGGGCTCCGAGTACCACAGAGGGGACAAAGAAGGGCATCTATGAAAGCACCGACCTGAATGTCACGACTCGGCACAGAAAAGAGGGAATGCTTATGTTGTACATGTGACCTCTAAACTGGAGACAATCTACACCCAGAAAGAATCAAATAATTAAGAGGGGAGAAAGAGAGTTCAGATTTAAGAATAAAGCAAATCGTTCTATTAAATAAGTAGCGGTAATTCATCAGACATGGTTCCAAAGTGAGAAGTAGCAGAGTAGTTAGCATGCATTGCGGATTCAATTATCAAACCAGCTACTTTGTCAATGCTTTATTTTAAATACTTGTACATACCTTGTTAAGTACAATCTCACACTGTGTAACAATTTGTAATAACGTAATCTGAACTCTAAATTCAAGGTAATTCATGTTTTCTTTTAAATGTTAAACTGTTACACTGCATTTAATAAGGTGGGTGCAAATGTTTAGAGTAGTGTAAAATGTATAATTTCTTTTTTCTTTGTTTGTCAATAGTGACCTTTTTGCCCCATCAGGCAGCATTTGTAAGTCTGATTAACTGTTGACACTTTATAGATTTAAAGTGCTATATGGATGCAGCAAAACAAACAAAATCTGCATCACAAATTGAATACTGTTTTCCCTTGAGTGTACTGTACTCTGCTCCTATCAACCCCAATTTAGACTCATTCTGCTTTTGCCCAAATGGAAATATTTTGCAGTAGATTTTTTTTTTTTATTAATATATATCCAAAGCGTTCCTAGCAACAGCAACTTTGTGTTCTTCCTCTCCTTCAGCGCTTCATTTCTTTCTTGTAGTGGTGCAGACGACTGCTGGCAGGCCATCAAAAGCCAGCAGCTGCTCTCACATTGTGGCTGTGATGAGAAAGTGATTATTTAGTCTGCCGCGCGTCTCTTGGGACAGTGGCGGTTTGACTGAGGACTCTTAAGAGAAGACTGGTGGTTGCTGGAGGCAGAGGGGAGCTCACTGGTCACAGGACATCACAGACCCGACCACAGCCGGAAACTGGAGCACAGACCCCAGGGAGGGGCTCAGGAAAGGCCTCCTCAGCATCTGTCTGGGCTGCCTGTGCGACCCAAACCTGCTGACAACCACCACAAGAATTTTACATCATATTTAAGTTGCACAATATGAGAAAATGCAGAAAGAGTTATGATGAATTCTGTGATAAACATATTATTACCATGTTCTAATGAGCAATCAATGTTTAAGTTCAGTTAAATTGTATTAAAACTGTAAAGCCTTTTATTACACGTCTGATGATTAAACAAGGCAAAATTACCACAAAATTTAGGACATTGGGATTAAAATAATAATTTAAAAATTTTAATATTTATGAAAGACAATTTTATGGAAAATATTAGCATTCCTGCAATATATATATGAACCATTTTTCCCAAACATAGTTCTGCCAAGTCCAGGTTTGTATACCTGCTGCAAAGCCCTACCTTAACCAAACAAACCAAAATAACACGTCTTCATGTGAAAGTGGCTGTTGTGTGGCATAATTGTGTTGGGACTAAATTTGAGCAACATGGATATCTTACCTTGCAATTGATTTTTGAACTGATATTACTGCTAAGCTCCACAAAATCTTAACAAACTGCTTTTTTACAAATATTTTTTATCGAGGCTTAAGGTGATATTTTTGGCAGTACAATTACTGACACGTTAACAAAAGGTATCAAGTGTCTTTGTATTAGCGACAATAGGCAGACACGCTATTGTATCACTGACATGTCTTCTGTGAATGAACTTGTTCAAAGATGCAATCTGCACAAACAACACAGATTTAATAAGCAAAGTATACAAACAAGAAAAATAACAAGCCTACTGTTACAATGGAATAATTAAACACCAGCAAATATTACAAGTCAGACTGCTCAGTTTCTCTCTTTCCAAACAAATATGCAACAGTACATTCATTGTTCTCATGTGATCAGGGATTTAGTAGCAAAAATAAATGCTATTCTTGCTAAAAGGTTTGTAATGCAATCATGCAGAATCACACCAACCCATGCATGTGAGGTCTACAGAAGTTTGGTTATCATCAGACACATTTTCTGCACTGTGAACAAATTATTTAATCATCCATTTCTAATTACACAAAACGAGGAAGACGACAGAAGAATATGTGACAAATACCCACTCATCCTCACCTAGCAAGTAACAAGCAGCGACCAAAGCTGATTTGAATCTAAAAAATACTACTGCAAAAAACAACTGTCACATCTATTGCATACTACACTATCAAAACTCAAATCAGGTTATCTTTTTCTCAACAGTGGTGAACATGGGCATTGCTGAGTGACCTCCAGTCTGACGCGTGATTGACAGTGAGTGGGTCGTGTTGTTCGGCTCATGTTAAGCGGCGTTTGACAAGTCCTCCGCGCGCTCACAGTCTGCCTCTAATGTGAGCGGAGTGATATAAGGTGAGGCCTCAGGGCAGAACCACAGCACCCATAGGAGCAGAGGCTTGAGCCGCGGTCGATCAAGAGTCACATAAAGCAAGGATGGGGGTGGTCAGGTCAGGAGAGGCAGTTATACAGAGAAAAACTATATCTTCATTTGTCTTAATGAAGAATAAAGAAATACTTAAAACATAATGTGAAAATAGTGTATTAATACCTTGTTAAGGCTAAACAAGTAACTACTTATTCAAGAGGTGCAGGTTAAGGTTAAGATTAAGTTATTAATTAACACCTAGTTTATTTTATTTGTTTATTTATGAGGGAAAATGCACATAAAA